TTAATTAACTGCTATTGAAGAATTTGTACTTATTTTTATGGAATGTTTTTAAATTAGACAGTTTAGATACAGATCTTATTAGTGGACGGCGGTATAGTAACGACAAATGTATTTTGTTGCAGCCTTAAAGAAAAGTTTAAGCTTTAGTACTTTTGGTGCACAACAAAATTATTTTCTAAAAATTTTAAATCAATCTACTCATGAACTCGAAGTCGAAAGTTACCTTATTTTTATGATTCAGTTTTGACGTCTGACGTATGACATCTATGTGTCTAAATGATTATGATACAAATTTTTGGCGGGAACGCGAGGATTCAAGTTATTTGAAATTATGTTTTATGTTTTAATTTTATTTTAATGATGTGTAGTACATATGGTGCTTAGCGTTTCTTAGTGCTTATCAATGTAGTTATGGTTACATTGGAAAAATGAAACAAAATCGGTGAACGTGGATTCTCAGATACTCCCAAAGAGTGCATTAAACATTCACTAAAATCTTATCATTTTACTGAAGGTGAGTTAATTTATTTTCCTCCAACACTTACTGTGCTGTTTTATCGCACGCCAATAAATTATATTTTCCGTTTCCGTCTGTTCTGAAATTTGTATTTCATAAAATTTTACCAAAATTTGTTTTATTCTATTTTTCACATAGCCTACATGGTTTTGATTTTGTTTCAGCGGATTTTGTTACAGCCCAGTATGTGCTACGTTATTTTTGCTTGTCTAACGCACAAATCAATGAAGAAAATAATAATAACATGGTACCGGTAAGACGGGGTGATTAGGGACAAGTTCCTACTTGATGAACAAGGTAGTTGTTGATGTATATAATGCTATATCAGGATCAAAATTATTGAGTTTTGGGGGTATCTTTGTTATCCAATTTAAAACTATGTAATTAGCATTCCAGTTTAAACAAAAAAAGCAAAAATAGGGGATATCCTTATTTACCCGGAAATATGATTTTTTTAAAGTTAGCAGCTATTATCATGCTTATTCAGAGTTGCTTTGTGAACTTACAACATTTTACATATTAGACTACAAAAAATGGAAGATTTTGCAACGAATATATAACGCTTACACAAGTCAAGCGCTTCAAGTACCTCGGTCACTGGGTAACAGAGGATGGTACGGATGATTGTGATATAGATAGGGAGCGTAGGGCGTTGATAGTAAGATGCAATATGCTGGCCCGCAGATTTACTGGTTGCGATAGCTATGTCAAACTTACAATTTTTAAAGCTTATTGCCAGAATTTTTACGCCAGTAGTCTGTGGACCACATACACGCGGAGAGCTTACAATGCCCTACGCGTTCAATATAATAATGCGTTTAGGATGATGTTGTCACTGCCGCGCTTTTGTAGTGCATCCACAATGTTTGCGACATCTCACACCGATGACTTCTTTGCAATAATGCGGAAGAGAAGTGCATCGTTATTGCGTCGAGTTCGTGACAGTGGCAACAGTCTTTTGAGAATCATATCGAGCAAGATCGAGGGACTGCTGATCAATAGCCTTTGCAGTAGGCACTTGGAAGGAGAAAAAAATAAAATAAAAAATGTAATGGTATAAAATGTATATATATAATGAGAGTTATGTGTTAGATTTTTTAAGTCACTAACATAGATATAAGTAATTACTACTAACAAAATGTTATGGTTTTAAAAAACAAAACTGAAATAAAGAATTAATAATAATAATAATAATAAAACTAATATTGAGCGTCGAAAGATTTTCCTGGTTTTTTCTCCATTCACCTCTCAATCCCTAATCACCCCGTTTTTCGGTACTACGGGAATATGTGTTTCCAGAGATGATTCTTGTCTAAACCATGCAACAATGAAATGAATTCCTTTCTCTTTGGTATTTCCTGAGTGCTATGTCCTTTATATGTATTTTTTACACACGTGGCTTATCAAGGGTCTTTCTCCGATCTGGTTATGTCACTGGTTCGAATTACGATACGATAGCTCTCTCATCGTGGGCCACGAGCTATGTACTTACTAACCGACACAGACGACGCCGGGGCAACGAAAAGTAGCCGTTATCTTAAACACATCTTATCGGATTCACCCAATACACTTTCGGTGCTCTTAGTTTCCCATAAACACCACCAGTGTCACATCGAACCTTCTCAATGGGTCGCGATTCTGATCTGGTAACAGATTCAACGAAGCACTGCTGGTGTTAGCAAGTTTTGTACCGTGAGCTCACCAACTAAATCGCGCGTAGTTGAAATAGCCCCATAAGCTACCAGCGATTAGCTAGCAAAAAAACAAAAATGCGGGGGCTTGATATTCATGTTTTAATGTTTACGAGTTCCAGTATCCGTTTAATATTAGCTGGGCCGAGGCCTCGTTCATCTATCTGTGTCATAAAAAACAGAGTTCACAGTTCCAAACTATGATTTTCTCACAAAGATGATATCTGATTTTGAATAGGCCCCATGGCATATTATGGAACCTGGGAATTGAGGTGTGGAAGTTAAAGTCACTAACTACAAAACCAACGGAAATATTAATATAAATAGCTCATATATCTTTAAGATCTTGAAGTCGTCAAGTCCTAAAGGATAAGACGCCCGCAATACTCTAATCGCACGATGCCAGTGTTCGCATCCACGCAGCAATTTTTTGAAATACGTTTAAAAAAATTGGTGCGTGGATGCGATCATGTATACGTATATGTATTTAACACATGTTCACGAAGGTTGCGACTGCCGTTATAAATTATACCACAGAGACCTTAAGTCTCAATGTGTCTATGGGCTCCGTTGAACAACTAACACCAGTTCGACCGTGAGCTAGTTCATCCGTCTATTCAATAAAAAAGTTGACTTTTTGGATTCTTCCTGATTAAATAAATTCCATTGGAACTATCCTCTTACGCGAAGTCATCATACGCTCTGGTTCATGGGTTGGGATGAGCGCTTTAAAATACCTATTATGAAGATTTCGACTTCGTCTGACGGCGGGTAGCATTCATGGGTCTCTTTGAAGACTTATTAACTTTTGAATAGTCAGGCCAAACGGATGTTTCAGACATTTTTGATGGTCTACTGACGATTCCTATTTTAATTAAGTACGTTTAAATAAGATTTTTGCAATCAAACAAAGGTTCTGAAATGTTGTTGTGTAGTAAAATAATAAAACAAAAAATTTCTTGCCAAATAAAGACAAAGAATTCTATGTAAAAGTCTTCTAATCAAATTCTAATGTAGGTAATTACTATCTATGTGGTTTCTGTTAAGTTAATAATTTTTATGTTTGGCGTTAAGCTGAATGTAGGTAATAATAATAAGTCATAAATACAGGCTTATATAATTGTGTGTCGTATACCTACTGAGAAAGCGTTTTTACAAATATAATATGTTAGTCCGAAACGATTTTAGGACCGTAAACTTCGAACTTGGGTTGGCCTGGGCCTTGGGATGGTCTATGGAGCGGTGACGATACCGGGCGGGTATTATTGGATATCGTTGGTTGTTGAAATCTCATCAATGTATCATGTTCATTAAAGTATTACGTAAAACACAAAAGGGCAATACATGAGTCATCAGTTACGTAATAGAGTTTGGAAAGAAGCTTCTTGATGTAATTTACTTCATAATCTTTTTTAAAGAAAATTTAGGCAGTGTTAATATTGGGCAGTTTTCCAGTTTTAATTTGAGCTTGTGTCTTACCCTTAAATGCCTTTTCCAATGTAAGCACAAAAGCTTTTGAATATCTTAAAATACAATTTTCGTATATCATACAAAACTTAATATCATCATTAAGTATTTTAGTATTAGCTACACATATTGTCCTAATTTTAAAAGTAAATCAACTTATTAATTAATTAACTGATTTTCTCGCCGGATTTTTTCAGTGGGTCGCAATTCCGATTCGGTGGTAGATTCTACGAATACGTGTCTTACTAAGATTAGTGTTAGCAAATTCTCTCAGGTTGAGCCTGTGAACTCACCTACCCGTCCAAGCGTAGGCGAGGCGAGCTGGAATAGCCTCATAAGTTACCGGCGAATAGGTATGGAAAAAAATAAAAATATCAAAATGCAGTTCAATATTTCCATCTGTTAGTAAATTAATTTTCTATTTAGTTGTCGCTATTGCGAGATTTGCTATTACCACTCAAATATTATGGTTATAATGGAAACGCTCAATCAGTTTCTGATCAATAATAAAACAAAAGAGAAAATATAATAGATCCAGTTTGAGAGTTGTCAGTAATTTTAATCGAATTTTGAATTTTATTACACAAAAAACTGGGTTATTATACTAGGAAATATGAAACACAAATGGGAAATACATATTCCAAATTCTCCTGTATTCGCCATCGTCAAATGATTAATTATTTCGCAAATCATATACGAGTATAGTGTAAATCAGACATTGTGTACGGTACCTTATATATTGCGTTAAGCAATATGTGTCACACTTTCAGGCTGTAAGTAACCGACCCACATAACAAAAGTTTTATAGCAATCTGCAGTATGTCCTTGTTCCAAGTTAATTCGGTTTGCGGATCTCTTCGCTCCCAACTTAAAGTGACGTCATCGGTCGCAAATGTAGGCTGAAGCCCAACAAGAGCAATTATAGCTATGAGTATATCTGGACAATTACTTGAGCTATCACATACCTGTAGCTATTGGAATTTTTGTTGAGTATTGAATTAAAAAATAAGACTGACGATAAAAGTGTAAGATTTATTACAAAATTAATTATGAGACGTTGTTACTTTGCAAGCCCGACTTGCTCGAACGTAATTATTTAACATGCTTAATTATATTGCATCATAGACCTGGTCATTTTATTTCAATGGAGAAGGTGGAATTAAGATATTTTTTTTCAAAGAGCCGTTCGTAGTAGGCAGTAAAGGATGTGAAATATAGGAAGGAGGCGTCGTCGGTCAATACTGGAGGTGGTGCGGTGCGGGAGCGGTGCGCAGGCGTGGCCCCCCGTCCCCTGTCCCCCGCTGCTACCGGCCCACTCACGCAACTCGCGAGTCAGCCGCCGTGCGCTGCGATCGCGTGTACCAGAGACCCTTTGAACTAACTCGAGCCATGTGTGATGTTTTCATCGCAGAGGGTGACTTTCGTCTAGGTTTCGTCCGCGACATTTATTTGTATGAATGAATAAATTTTGCAAATAATATATTCTGACGAGTCGTTTAGCTGACTGTATAGGGGGACAGCTTTCGCCTAGTGTCTACTTTTCTGGTAAGCTCGTGGCCGTTGACATTGCAGCGTGCGGATCCCGCAGTGCGTGAGTGTGTGATTAGCGAACATAATAAACGAAGAGATCAGCTGAGTCGCGTAAACATTTTTAATTAGACAATTAACGATGTCATAGACTAGATGTACCGAAGCACATAAATACCGGTCCTGCAAGACTTCAAACATGCGGCGTTTATTGCTCCTGTTCCTACTTACAGGTAAATAGATTTGTAACTGTAATATGTATCTGTAAATATTGTATTTAGAACTAGTATAATTCATTAATTTAGTTACTGATATGCTTATTATATAAATTGAAACTTCCGAGACCCTCATTAGATTACTTTAAAATTGTATAAAATAAATTGAGCATGATTTTTTGGCACAAATATGACAATAAGTATAAAATTTGCTGCCAAAGTTATTTAAAAAAAACCGAATAAACGGGATCAAATAAGATAAACTACTTAATTCGCAAAATTAATTATTTGTTAACTTTATTGTTATATTTCTTCTATTTGATTCGAAAACATGATAATAACCAAGTAATGTTGTATAGTGTGTTGTTACACATGCATTTGTATGGCAGGGCAGCGTTTTGTTCAAGGATTTAAGAAATATCTGGTGTTCGATAGCGTCGTTATTGTAAGAGTGTATTGTACAATATCCATCTGTCGGCATGAACGAAGGGTATTGGTTCCGTCGGATTAAATTAATCGTGATGCAGCAAAACGGGAACATTCGTTAATCTTCGTGTTTCGCTAATAATTGAAAAGTAATAATGAAAGTACTATGTTAACTGAAACTACTATGCTAATGTCACATTTCGTTGAATGAGATTCAATGCAAACAAGCACACGAAGAATTGTTGCACTTATTCGACTTTTTTTGAAATCGGTAAAACGTGTTAGTTCAAGTACCTTTTCAAAATCATGTATTTAATATAAGTTTTTAATAGAGTGGAACCTAGAATTTATATCATTATGGTTTGCCATCAATTACTATCAGCTCACAAACTGGACGGTATAAATAAAACACAGCGCATCTATGAAAGTATAATTATACCTAAATTTTTTTTTATTGCCCTTGTAGGCAGACGAGCATACGGCCCACCTGATGGTGAGTGGTTACCATCGCCCATGGACTTCAGCAATGCCAGGGGCAGAGCCAAGCCGCTGCCTACAAACATTTAAAGTCCAGGAATAACGAGGAGAACTTACCTAAGTACTTCAAATTTAGGAGTATGAATGACAGCTGCTTCGCAAACATTGAATAAATTTAAAGCATTCCTATTCATTCAAATCCTTTTTGATATCTCCGAAAAATGGCAGGGCTTACGATTAGAATAAGGAACTTGGGGTCTTTATTTATAGCAGCGGGCCGACAGGTGTTCAATACAGGTAGACGACCGGAATGGACCCGACCCGTGGCTGGGACGAGATTACTCTTATAATGAAAAATCTTTGCACATGTAAAACCCATATAGAAATTCGTTGGTTTTCTTTTCAATGATTTTCAAGAATCCATTTATTTTATCTCTCAAGTTTCACTCATTTGATATCCATACATATATTTTAAATATAATATCCACCTATATTCCAATGCTTTATTAAAATTTTCTAAAAGTTTGAGAAAGAAAAAAAACCCAGCGTTTATACTTTGAAAATACGTTTTATTAATTTTCTGGCGTATTCACGTTTCAACGCAAAAAGTCATCAGGAACTTTTGCTTTGAAGCTATCTGTCGCAGATAGCCCTGTCCCAAACACGCCTTTATAAATCACAAAGTTTTGCCCTCGGAGGAGTTACCAAAAGTTTAGGTCTCAATACCCACATCAATCTCAAAAAAAGGTGTTTATTGAATGGAACAAAACAGGTTTGTTCAAAGAAAAACGACCTAAAATTTTCTGTAGAATTCGCTGTGCTTTAATAAATAAAATAATAATAAGTAAAATAATATACATTTTAAAAACTATAAAGGAGTTCAGTAAATACTAGAAGAACGCATCTGTTTTAACGTTTTAGAGTTCTACATAAAATTGTTTCGCGTTCGATAAATATTTTTTGCTCCAGTTTAGCGGATGTGGCTTGCACCTGGCTTGTGTTTTTTCTCCTTTATTTTAAGTATGCCACGTTACCTTGTTGTCTGGATAGCATCTTGAAATTCTCTATTATTGTTCCAAAAAACGTTTCAGTTACATAAACCGAAGAAGCTTAAACACACTATAAGGATAATGTTTTAGTACTTTTCTCTTTCTTGCCCTGGTACAACATGTATCCATCATATTGATGTTTGTAAATCAATATTTTTGACAAGGATCAGAATTAATGCGAGGGAACTCACAGAAAATATGAGTTTTCTTTATTTATTTTTTATTGCTTTGATGGGTGGACGAGTTCACGGCCCACCTGGTGTTAAGTGGTTACTGGAGCCCATAGACATCCACAACGTAAATGCGCCACCCGCCTTGAGATATAAGTTCTAAGGTCTCAGTATAGTTACAACGGCTGCCCCACCCTTCAAACCGAAACGCGTATAATACCACTATTGATCTTATTGTTTAAATTTATTCGAAGAATCCACCCTTTTCACTATAATCATAATATTAATATAATCATAGCTATATTTCTGTTAAATTCTTTAAAAAATTACTCTCGCGCACCCTTTTTGCACAAATAGTTATTTGTATAGATTAACTGGACCTCATGACATGCGTTCGTACCATGCTTTGATCACGCAAAAAGATAGAAACAATGACAATAATGTTCATAAATTACAAAATCATTATGCTACATGCTTATACAATATTCACACAACAAAAATCTTAGCATTTTAAACAGTCATTTCGATTGCGTAACATAGATCGTATTATGGTTCCAAGAAAACTTGGTTTATGTCTATTTTAGGGTGTTGACAGAGAAGGCATAATCAAAACGGGTGCAAGGAGTCGATAAGTGGTCGGGCGCCGGCTTTCATCTCTGTTATGTGTGTGTTTACACCCGATGTACAGCGGTGTGCGTAGGCGCATCTTCACACTGCAATTCGACTTTTGTGTGAGTTTTATTTATGGCTTTTCTGATTGCGGCCCTGTTTTCGATCTTGGGTTTTTATCTTTTTTTTTTAAACGTTTTAATAAATACATTGACATTTAAATGCACTTCTTAACTGTCACTTCAAATTTGAGCCTATTGCTATCGTCAATTAACTGAGTAATTTTGTACTTGAAATTTTTTCCTTGATATTCCACAGAAGAGAACAATTTAAATTTAAATGTATAATTGAATTACCAATTAATTGATGCCAGTATTTAGAGAGGTTTATTAATTGGGTAAACGAGCTCACGGTCTAACTGGTGTAAAATGGTCCAGTCCATACACATTGTCGAAGCATTAACTGATTTGTACAACGGCTATCCTAAACTTCAAATCTGAACACAAGATTTCTTCGCGGCAGAATTAAGTAGGATGGTGGCATAAGAGCTTACAATATGGCCTACCAACACAGTAACACGTAACAGTAAATGCCGGGTAGTGATCGCGGCATGCTGGTATATAGTAACTCAATTAAAGCTGTTTTCCTTTCTCCTGTGAATCGCTTGGTTGTCTTTTACAACGACAAGGGGAAGAAATTGGTTAGTGCTATTCTAGGGCGGCACCACATGACCAAGATTACCTATGACAATCCAACGTAACTATGAAGCAATAAAAAAAACGACCTTTATTTCTCTTGAAAATCTTTATTACAACTTGAAAGAACAAAATTTAAAGAATCCATAGGGAAAATATTGTTTCGTTCGAAAATTTAGGTTAATTCAGTACAAGATTTCCCAGATGTGTTTTGGCCACTTTGAAATTTCCCAGCAGAGTTAAACATTCCTTGTTTTATAAAGGTGTAGCAAAAGTTTCTTCATTCGCTGTTATGTCGACTGAAACTGACAAGATTATGTTTCTTGCACGCATTTACAAATCACGAGCTCGTACACAAATTACTTCATAAATTCTATGAAACTGTAGAATTGCTTACGTTCATAAGAGTTTTTCTGGAATAACATTAATCCCAACTGGTTTAGTTGCCATAAGAAATAAATATATATTACTTACAGTACAAATTACAAAATATTACTTTAAATATTATAGTTTATGATAATTTCACAAGAGGATCATTAAATTGTTTCATTAGATTTATTGTGAAGACTACAATAGAAATAGTAGATATGCCAGTTATTTCCCTGGAGACATGAGAGCGGGGCGTTAAAGTAACTGTGATTACTATTCCAAGCAGAATTCGTAATTAAGCTCTACCAGTTGACTTAATGCTCCATATGAATTTAGTGCACTTTTTTGTGCTATGGATGGACTAGCTCACGGCCCACCTGGTGTTGAGTGGTTACCGGAGCCCATAGACATCTACAACGTAAATGCCGCACCCACCTTGAGATAAGAGTTCTAAGGTGTCAGTATAGTTACAACGGCTGCCCCACCATTCAAACCAAAACGCATTACTGCTTCACGGCAGAAATAGGCAGGGTGGTGGTCCCTACCCGTGCGAACTCACAAGAGGTCCTACCACTAGTTATTATGCAAAATATAATTTTGCGAGTTTGGTTTTTATTACACGATGTTATTCCTTCACCGTGGAAGTCAATCGGGAACATTTGTTAAGTACGTAAATTGCTACTCGCCGGCGGGATTCGATCACCGGTGCATCGCTAGATACGAATTTACCGGACGTCTTATCCATTAGGCCACGACGACTTCCTTCCTAAACTCCTTTCCATCCGTCTCTTTTTTAACATCACACCTTCCGCCACCGAAGGAAAGCACGTGATTCTCCAGATCCATTATCCTGCTTTTAGGTACCTCAAGCACCGATCACCGTAAATTAACCCACAGAAACAAACAACTGAATTTCTCGCCGGATCTTATTAGTGGGTCGCGTTTCCGATCCAGTGGTAGATTCTGCGAAGCACTGCTCTTTCTGGGGCTAGTGTTAGCAACGTCCTCAGATTAGAGCCTCGTGAGCTCACCAATTCGCTCGGTTACGATGGCGTAGCTTCGAAAGGCTACAAGCTTAGATAGGAAAAAAGAAAAGAAGAACAACTGTTTTTATTTTATTTAGCTAATATTATAATTTTTCGATTTATTTACAAGTTAATGATTTTTGGCATCTATTGAAAATGAAACAATTAAAACAAAAACTAAGAAATATTGCGCATTGA